TAATATATATTTGAAAAAAAGAAAGAAGGAAAAGAAAAAATGAATGTTTTTGCTGTTTATAAGAAATATTTTAATTTCTACGAAAAAAGATTGTCATATTTTCATTCTAAATACTTTTTTTAAGAAAAAGAATTTTTATCTTAAAAGTAAAATTATGTATTTCTTCGACAAAAGATCTTCATATTCTAAAGATAGAATTTTTTTCTCCGCAAAATAATTATATTTTTATATTGCGTTAGTTACTTTTTATCTTATGAAATGTTTTTGTTGCTTATGATAAATATTATAATTTCTATAAAAAAAAATTCTATATATTTCTTTTTTAAGGTGAAAAGTTTTTGGAATTAAAATTGTATATTCCTTCCACGAAAAGAAAAGATCTTCTAGACAGAACTCATATTTTATAAATAGAATATTGTATTTTACGTTTTATATTTTACTTTAAAAAAGTATAAAATATTTAAAAAATTTTATTTTGTGCTATTTACAAAACTAATATGCAATTTATGTTGTGTTATTTGTTCTTTTTTTAAATATGAACATTTCATATTAAAGCTTATTATTAAAAATAGACTGCAAAAGAATTTAAAGTGAATTATTAATTTATCACTTACACATTGTCATGCATATAAATATATCACATTATATATATTACATATCGTTGTTGTATTGTATGAGAGGTTTTTATCTTTCTTATATTATCCAAGCTATGTACTTTCCGATTTTTCTAACCGAACATCATCAAAGTAAATTTAGAATAGAAAATACACGCTTAAAGTGATAGTGAAGTATCTATTTACGTAGATTCTTTGATTTTTTGGATTATACATTTAATTATGCAGGCATTACATGAAAGAGATAATTATTTATTTGGGACATATTGCGTATATTAACAAGCTTAATATATGTGGCTAAAAATTTATATAAGCAAAATTTATATAAGCAAAATTCGCAAAATTTATACCTGAATATCTAAACTTTTCATTCTTTCGTGTCATAATATTTAGCATTATTGATAAAATAAAAAGAAGAAAGAAAAGAATATAAAAACAAAACAGAAGAAAAAAAACGTTGCATCAGTATAGTCTTTATACTGTAATATAATAAAGTATACCGATTGTTTGCGATTCGCACAGGTGGATGAGAGAATTATTTATGACGGGCGCTAAGCGTGATTTGGAGGAATCTGACATTTATCGACCACTTAAAGCAGACGAATCCGAAAAACTGACCGATCATCTCGAGAAGTGAGTTTCGTCCGCGTTGGAGACAAATTAATATATATTAACGTGTGCACCATTATAAAAGGCTTACAACAATGATGACTCACTTCGCGTTGCACACGAAAAAACAAATTATAATAATTATTTTTAAAACAACTTGTATTTTGAAGTAAAGTGGAACTTGATGTATGATAGATATGTATAATATATTATTGATTAATATCTGTTCTATTTTTAAGGCATCATTATTTTACATTTGATACTCTTTAAAATGTAAATACAGCGAAACACGGAAAAAAAGTATACATAATTAATAAGACATAATCATAAATTAATCTCTCCTCATTTCTTGAGTCCTAACGCATTTTTCTTTGTTTAGGTACTGGAATCTCGAGCTCGAAAAACTGAAAAATCTGGAATATACCGTGAGCAAAAACAAGCAGAAAATGCCGCTGAAAAAGAGTGTCCGTCCGAAGTTATACAGGGCTATTTTCAAAGCTTTTTGGTTGCCATATTTTATAATTGGAATCTTCACTTTTATCCAAGTATATCGATATCTTTGAGAAGAAATACTATGTGACATTAATATTTACGATACTTAGATTAAGTTTCATTGTCATAAAAAGTAGTATTCACGTAAAGGACGCTGGAATTTTGCTGCAGGAAGGTCTAAAAATTTTGCTGGATACACATCTAAAAATAATTTTATTGAAAATTCAAAAATAATAAGCATTATTGTAAAGCGTTTTGATATTCTAGCAATCAGTTTGAATTTCCAACAAAATTATCTTCAGGTCTGTATCCACTCAAAATTTTTAGACTCTCCAACAAAATCGTTTTTTCCATGTTGGAAGTTATTTCCACAAAGAGAAACAGCAAATAATTTGTTGTGTTAGAGATGTCAGATGAGAAATATCTCTCATTAAATTCATCTAACAACAAAAGGGAAAAAATTGTTATTCCGATATTCCTCTTTCTTTCTTTCTCTCTCTCTCTTCCCACCTCTCTCTTTTTTTATCTCTTTTTAGAGTTTTTAGATTCATTAGATTTTAATCCTGTTGGAGCTATAAATTTTAATATATATATTGGAATTATCAAAATTTTAATGTTAATTTCTAGAGCAGTGTCATACGTGTGACGATACCGATCCTTCAAGGTTGGATCATCGATTACTTTGCCAGAGATTCCATTGCAAAATACAAGACAGAGATGAACGAGATGCTGATCTATGTTGCTTCCTTGGTCATTTGTAACGTCGTCTACATTATGATGATGCACCATACAATGATACAGTCGCTGCAGATCGGCATGAGGATTCGCGCCGCTTGTAGCTCGCTTCTCTATCGGAAGGTAATGTTATAAATTAATCTGCGCTGATCGAAGTTCTTCATGGAAAAAGAAAAGAGCTGCTATCAAGAAGTGCACTGTGTTCGCTTTATTTAATTAAATAATAATTTCGTAACGTTTCTACAATCGTTAGATCGACGTACGTTAAGTTTTTTATCCACGTTGAAAATAATTGATGTATAAGTAAGAACTCAGATTTGGATTATTTGACGAGGAGAGTGCTTTCAGTGTTGGAGAAATTAATTTAAACCAATTTTATTTTAATGCTTAAAAAGATGCCTGGTCGTACTGAGATTGTCATATCCAGGGTTGGAAACGTTATCTTAAAAATGTAACGCGTTGTATTGTTACCATTATTGTAAAAATGTAACAGATATTGTTATATTATTGTTACAAACAGAAAAAGCTATAAACAATTATTACTGAAAAAAAATAACGAAAATGGTAACGGCGTATAAGTAACGCGTTACTTCCCAATCCTAGTTACCATAGGGTAACTGTCCCTATTAGTGTGCCCTGAACCTATTAGTGTGCTATTCTATTTAAATAAGTCATAAAAATAAACTGGTACAAATAAATAGACAAAGTATTTTTTTTCTATAAAGTTAATACTTTAACTTAATAAAAAAAATACTTTGTCTATATATTTGTACCAGTTTATTTTTATGACTTATTTAAATATAAAAGCACACTAATAGGTTCAGGGCACACTAATAGGGACAGTTACCCTATATCTAATGTTGCGATTCGCCGGTTCGTGAAAAGATACGGTCCGGTCCGGCTAATTCCTTTAGCGCTGAGTCACGACACGTGTCTCTCGATAAGATTACTACGGAGGTCACTTATATGGGGCCACGTGTACCACAGTTATATACTATAGATAAAATATACAGATAAATACTTGTTTGTCGTACGAACTTGATATTCTCTTTATTAAAAATGTCCTTCGACTTCAACCAATAAATTTGTTGATATCCCGCGAGTAATTACAGAAAAACATATGTATTATTTGAATGCACTTATTTCTTTTGAAATAGAACGGACTACTTGAATGGAAAAAAACCTAGTCAAATAGAAAATAACATTTTTTAATTGTAATAACAAGAAAACTATTCCATAATATTAAAAATATTTCGTTTTAATTGTTTTACGTTTAAATGTTAAAACTGAAAAGTTTTAATTATTAATCCTTTGAAATTTTACTTAATTAAAAATTAATTAAACTTTAACTAATTTAACTTTATATTCACTTTATAAGTTTTTAAATTGTGTTCTTGTATTTTTTTACGTTGTATTATGTTATGTAAAATAAGTTAAAAGCTGTTAAGACTTATTTTTTTAATGCATGTAATACAATTGTTGACATAACCGACCGGTATTATAACCGACTTATTTAATAGTTTACAATTTTACGTAACGATGTTTGCTTAGGAAAAAGACAATAGAAATTGATAGCATAAAGAAGAAATGTTGTTTATCAAATACAACTTTTAAATTATGCATTTTCAGGCTCTATAATGATTTCAAAACTTGTTGCAGTTATTACGGTTGAATAGAGCCTCCATGAACCAAACCGGTAGTGGACAAATTATAAATCTTCTCAGCAATGATGTAACTCGTTTCGATGAATTAACGATGTACTTACATTTTATATGGATTATGCCAATTCAGGTAAATCTTAATGCACAAAAAGAACGATTTTGCTCTAAAAATCGCTTAAAGTCTAAAAATTTTGATCTGAAAATCATTGGTTGGTCCATTAAAATAATTTTTTTGGAAACTCAAAAATGATAAGAATTGCTATAAAACATTTTAATATTTTAGCAACCAGTTTAAATTTCCAACAAAATTATTTTGATGGTCCAACAAGAATTATTTTCAGATTTGTATCTAGAAAAATTTTTAGACCTAGCAAAATCGTTTTGTGTCGTGTGAGAAAAATATACGTGTACATTTCAATATAATTAAATTACATATCGTGCACAATATCATCTCTTCAATTAAAATCACTTAAATTAATTAATCTCTTTAATAGATTATTGGTAAGTACGGATATATATATTAATATACGGAAAGAACAATTTTAATAAAAGGTCTAAAATTTAGCTGGGTACAAATCTGGAAATAATTTCGTTAAATCATCATAATAATTATCTATGTTAGAAACTAAAGTATAATAAGCAATATTGCTAAAAATTTTGGTATTCCACAACTTTAACAACCAGTTAAAGTTTTCAACGTAATTATGTTGATGGTCGAACAAATTTATTTTTGGATATATCGAGTAAAATTTTAGAATTTTTTATCAAAATCGTTTTTTCTATGTAATTGTAGTCTAATTCAAAGAAAGTACATCCACTGTTTATTCAGGATGCAATTTTACAATTCCGCTAATTTATCTAGGTTGTAAAGATAGAATATTTTTCCTTCCTTTTATTTGAATGTTTCGAATTTTGATCATTTTAATTTTCGGGACAAACTTCTTTACCTTCTTTAATTGATTACCAACCTTACCTATCTTTAATTTGATTACCAACAATGAGTCTCAATCAAATTCATAGGAATATTATTAGGCATTAAGATCTAGCTCTATTTTAACACTATTTAAATTATCTATTGAAATTGTGCCATCTATTGAAATTGCCAGGTTTTTTTCTATTTACAGATGGTAATTGTGGGAACCATAATGTGGCAAAAAGTTGGTATTTTGATCCTTGTTGGCATCGCATTCCTATTGTTCATCTCCCTAATAATACAAGGGACCATCAGCTTGCTAAGTCACCGAATCAGAGCCATGATCGCGCCACTGACTGACCGAAGAGTGCAACTGATGAGTGAACTCATTGCTGGGATACAGGTATTTCTGAGATATTTGATTAATTATTTTAACGACCCAGAAGACACTAACGTTTAAATGTGAAATTCTACGAAAAAAAGAACAGTTTTGTAAAACAAGTTTATAAAAGGTGGGTTTTTGTTTTAGGTAGTGAAGATGTACGCCTGGGAAAAATGGTTCAGTAAAATCGTTGCGGTGATCAGAGAAATGGAGTTCAACAAGATCAAATTCTCATCGTACATGCGGGCCGTGTCTGTAGCCATTATAATCTTCACCGAGCGACTAAATCTCTACTTCACCTTGATAACGTTTGTTCTATTGGGAAATAATTTGTCTGCCAACGTGAGCTTTGAAATGTTAATACACTTTCACTTTCTTCGACAAACCGCCGCAGCATATTTTCCGCACGCATTAATAACGTTGGGCGAATCGATAGTGTCTATGAACCGATTGGAGGTACATGCTGTCACATTATTTTCAACTTTGTGGTAAACCCTTCAATCTTATTGGTTTTTCTATCGCTACATAAGTGCGATTAAGGTATTCTTAATTTGTACAGGACTTCCTGTTAATGGACGAAGTAAATTTGGGACGCTCAGAGAAGACACCGCAGTTACAGTCTAAATCTCAGAAACCCGACGAAGCAAATAATGAGGAGAAACATACAGACAAGTACATCTCGAAAAATGGAAGTACTGGGCCTTCCGAGCCTCAAGGATTACCTGTAGATCTTTCGGTCTGCGTAAAGCTTCAGCACGTTTCCGCCAATTGGTTAAGCGATCAGTTGCCACCGACTTTGTGCAATATTAACTTGACTATCAAGCCAGGCCAGATGTGCGTTATGATCGGTGCAGTGGGCTCCGGCAAATCATCCGTGCTACATCTGCTGATGAAGGAGCTGGATCTCGGCGCGGGTTCTGCGAGCCTCACACATGGCTGTCCCAAATATAACTTTCACCACAATTTATCCAATTGTTATTTTACGAGTAATTCGAATCTGCGTATTTCTTATGCCAGTCAGGAGCCTTGGCTATTTAATGGAACTGTGAGGGATAACATATTGTTCGGTCAGCTCTATGACAAAGCCAGATACATGAAGGTAGTTTTATCACAGTTTAAAGCATTGCTGCAGTTATCATACGTGTTTATCTCTGTTATTTTGGGTCTAATGCTGCTATTTTATGTACCAATAACTTCTCGGATGTAACTTGGTGTACACAATTCTTAGACTCCTCAATTTTTCGTTTAGATATGAATGGGACTTACTAATGGATTGTCAATAGAAAATGATATCTCTGAGCGAGTACCATAAACTTTGCTGAATTCTTTGTCTCTATATGATTCCATCTAAATTAAAGAAGAATGTCCAATTTTCCTGATTTCAAACATTTTATCATTTCCTACATGGAGAGAATTTCCTTTTGAAATTTATCCTGAAAATCATATTAATTGTAGGACAACATAGTATTTCGACAAATTTTATGTAATTTTCTCTGATTTTTACTGTACACTTTAATAAATTTGTTGTAATATATTAAAAAAATATAATAAAAATTCACATAAAATTTGTCGAAATACTATGTTGTCTTACGATTAATGATTTTCAGGGTAAATTTTAAAGTAAAGATCTCTCTGTGTAATGTTTTTCACTTTTGATCGGCTGAAAAACATTTCAGGTGACAAGTGTGTGTGCCTTGAAAAAGGATTTCCGGCAGTTTCCACAAGGAGACCTGACAATTGTTGGCGATAGAGGTATATTACTGTCCGGAGGCCAAAGGGCGCGAATCAATCTCGCGAGGGCGGTTTATAGGCAGGCAGATCTCTATTTGCTTGATGATCCCTTGAGCGCGGTGGATACTCGCGTTGCTAGGCATCTCTATTGGAAATGCATCATCGAGTTTCTCCATAGCAAAACGAGGATACTCGTCACTCATCAGTTGCAATTTCTCAAACCGGCGGATCACATTGTCGTGCTGGATCGAGTGAGTTACCTAAAATAATCTTTAATTGCTTTTAGATCAAAAAATTTTATATTAAGAATTTATATATTAAATTATATAATTAATTAAGAGATTCTTGAGTAATAAATGTTTTTCATATTAAAATATATTTTAATTTTAATCGTTAAGGGTTTCGTGAAGATGCAAGGAAGTTACAACGAATTAGTACAATCAAACGAAGATTTTATTGGGATGATGGGCGATTTGTGTCACGATGCGCAGAAAAAAGAAAAAAACATAAAGAGAACCTCTGTAAGCCAAATAATCACAAGACGTGCCTCGGAATTATCGACTACAAGTTCCATTGTAAGATAATCTTTATCATTCGTTATTTTTAATCAAAAAACATAAAAATTAAAATTTTTTATTATCTTTTGTTGTCTAATAAGATAATGGATTTGTAATATGATAAAATAATTTAAAAAAATATTTGAACAGTATGTTAGTATTAAATTTATTAATATAGTAATTAATAAAGTAAAGTAAAAGAAATTCTCTAAATAATATTGTGAGAGAAATTAAGTGATTGTCAAATATTCATTAATTTTCTCGATATTATTTTGGGCTGTACAATGCCAGCTAAAATAAAACAACAAAAACTTACGAAAAATTTGGTCGAAATTTTACAAAACATTTTTTAATAAATTGTAAATACAGTCTGAAACCAATTGCAAAAAAACAAAGCAATAAATAATTCGGTTATAATAACGCTTTGCAGCACAATGACCATATATTGCTGCAGTTTTACGTAAATGACTTTTAAATGAGTGGATCCAAGTAAACTTTTAAACTAATATTTATTCCAATTATTTACCATGTGTAATAAAATTTGATTTAACTCGTAATGCTTCTTCCTCATTATAAATGTACAAATAAGTACTTACTACAAAGCGAGATTTTACATAAGGCTTAATACAAACAAAAAATTATATAACTTTTAACCAATAAAAGAATTATGCTCCAATTTTAAAGAGATATTCTGACATAATAATGACACAATCTATAAACAATTTATATTTTCAATATTTTCAATAGGTATACCTATATATATTCCGACCGTCTAAGTATAACACAAATTAAATTGAGAGAAGGCCGTAGCATCTTGGTGCTTTTAATATTTCTCTGTGCATTTTACATACATATTCTAATTTTATTTTACATTTTTATATTTTCGGTAATCCTTCGATATTTGACGTATGTCCTTAATGTGATCCGAGGGACAATCATGTAATTAGATTATTACTTTGCCATCGTGCAGCACTCGAACATTGAATCGGATCATATCGAGAACAACCCGGAAACCGAGATGATGGCACATGACAAAATACCCGGCGGAGTGTTCAAGGAATATCTGCATCATGGTGGCAATTACTTTACCTTGTTTATACTGTTGCTGGGCTTCATCATCAGCCAGATCGCCACCACCGGAAATGATTACTGGCTCTCATACTGGATCACTTTGGAGGATGTTAGGCGCATCGAAAACACTAGTGACGCCAAAGAGTTCGCGCACATGTACAACGACAGCTTCCTCGGGTCGATCTTTACGCTGAATCCAGACGGCCTGCTCAGCACTTTAGATGCCATATACGTATATACATTCTGCATAATCGCCTGCACCGTTACTACGTTGTTCCGCAGCTTTCTCTTCATGAAGGTCTGCATGAACTCGAGCTGGAATCTCCATAACAACATGTTCTCCAATCTGCTGCAGGCGCGCATGTCCTTTTTCCACACCAATCCTTCCGGTGAGCAATACTCGCGAAATCCCGATAGGCAACAGAACTGATTGAAGTTTGGAACGTTCTTGGAGCGAATTTTTGAAAATTATTTGTCCCATTTTTGCACAGAATAACTCATAAGTTTCACAAACACAGCTATTTCGATCCAATACACGGGTCAGGAGGCATCCTTATGCTCGATAAACTACTCTCTCGGTTGCTTAAAAAATTCTAGCTACGTGCCAAAAATGATTTGTCTCATTTCTACTTTTGCACAATGTTATTCTTAAGTGTCAGAAAAAATATTTCAATGGAATGTTCGGAAGGCACTTTTAAACCAGTATCTCGGTCGCTTAAAAAATTCTAGCTACACGACAAAAATGTCCAATTTCTACTCTTGCACAAAGTAACTTTTAAGTGCCAGACAGAAAATAAAAAATGTTCTGATCGAATGCACGCGTTGGAAGGCACCTTTATACTCGATAAACCACTCTTTCGGTTACTTAAAAAATTTTAGCTATAAAACACTTTTTATTTTGCAGTAGTGCTAATTTGCCAATAGATAATAGCCCATACTTGCTATAATGTATTTTTATTTTCGAACAGTTTGAAATGTTTTTAAGGTACTATATATTATATTTAGCATTTAATTAAACATACTTCCTATCAATTTCTCTTCTTTTTATACTTGGGTGTATTATTTTACGAAATTACGAATATACATACACTAATCAATTCTTTGTCTCATTTTTGTCAAGGACCATATCATCATCCCTATTCTTCTTTGATTCATTTTGCAGTGTTGTTATACATTTTTATAAAAAATGTATTATGTAATACATATTTCATTTTTAATCTCGAGTCTAGAATCGATTACATAACACTTTGACAAACGTATCCGTTTAGTTTTTAAATTATTAATTATTAACAAAATTATTGTAAAAAAATGTAAATAAAGAACCATAAATCATCTTCTTCTGTAATAATCTTTCCTTATTCATGGAGAAATGCTTGATGATTTGCATACATTTATTTCCACGTTTTTACACTATATTCAAAATATAAATTATTGAAATCATCGAATCTGTCGCGATCTCTGAACTTTAATTTCCCGATTTTTCTTGTTTAAACTTAATTATTTTTGTCTCAGGGAGAATTTTAAACAGATTTTCGAAG